GTGGTATTGGATCTGTTGAAGTATAATTTGTGAAACCAAATTCTGGTGATACTCTCCTTCTGACGTTTGCTGAAGTAGTAATTGGTGCTTTCTCTACGACTCTTGGTTGAGCATTTGTTCTAGTTTCTGTTTGAGTTCCCAATGCAAATCCACGTTGAATATTTGTCGGAGGGGTCCATTGTAAAGCATTTGGTGAGGAATCCCACTGCGGAATATTAGATGATGAATCCCATTGTGGAGAGATTGGTGATGAGTTCCATGGTTGCGGATTTGGTGGTGAACTNCAGGTTGGACCACTTGATGATGCACCCCATTGCTGACCATATGGAGGTGTTCCCCACTGTGGCGTATTTTGTTGTGTTCCCCATTGTAAAGTACTTGGTGGTGTGCCCCATTGTGGAGCATTTGATGGTGAACCCCATTGTTGAACATTTGGTGGTTTGTTGAAACGTAGGACCCCATTGACAACCAGAAGTTTGACCCCAAGAATTTTTACCACCGGAAGACGGACTACCAGAAGGAAAACCAGTTGAACTTGGACTCCCAAAATGTTGCCCCGAGCTTAAGCGCTTCTCAACACGTTCATCATCACGTGTATACCNAGTTAAANCTTGTAAGAATTGTATTTTATCATCAAAAGATTTTTCACCTCTATCAATGAAATACTTATGCCAAAATCCATCTTCTTTCAATGCTTGAATGCATGACCAATAAAATTTGGTATCATTTGGAAGCTCCATCGATTCAAAAATCTTCACANCCTTGTCAAANTCATCGTAATCATCTTGTTCAAACGGATTTGGGCGTAGTTGTTGTAAANTTTGGCGCTGAAATTCTCTAAACCCAGTTATTGTGTCTGTTAGCGTTGTTTCAAAATATTGTTTTCTTCGACTTCCACGTAAACCACTCACAGTAGAGGAACAAGAGTTTCCCGTACCTCTTTGTGTAGTACTTCCCCGTCTTCNTCTACCTCGTGGTTGAACTCTAGAATCAGGAATTTGGATCGGGTCAACCATTGACGAAGTATGGTGCATATGTGCATTGGTAAACTCATTTGAAAGACTTATCTGATCATCAATACTAACACGATACACCTCTTCGTTTTCTTGTATTTCTGGAACTTGATTGTCTGCACCATATGGTTCTGAGTAGAAATGACCTTCATCGTGGGATGNACCCTCGTTAACCATCTCTTCTCTTCGTTGGTTCACAGAGTATTGAGCTTGTGATTGAACGTTGTATAATTTGAAACAACGTTGCATCACATCCCAATGATCTGGCGGCTTTCGTTTAAATGATTTTATAATTTTACATACTTGTATGAAANATTTTAAAGTTTTTAATTAACAATTTTTTTTGTATACATAAAATTTACTTTATTTTTTGCTGTAAAAAAGATCATGCGTACTTACTTCACGATCTTTCCACCATGATTCAGATGCACTTATCACAGATGTAATAGGATCAACCACGATCCCGGTAGACTTCAGCATAATACTATACTTCTTATACTTTCTTTTCAATTGATCAAGTTTTTCTTTGCAGAATTTGTAGTTGATATTAAGATTGAACTCCTCGTTGAACTTTTGAACTATAAACTCTTTTGCAAATGGTGAAGGATCTTTTATACGGTAATTATTCATCGCAATTTCTTGGTCGTACAAGTCAAGAAACATTTTTTCTCGACTTGGAGTCATTTAAAATTGTCTTCCGTCTACAAATTGTGAACATTTGAGAAAATATATTTCATTTTGGTTTTAAGTACAATAATTAAAAAAGTATATAATTTTACCCGTGCTGATGTTTNTGTAGGAAAACTTGTATCTGCTTNATTGGATGAATTTATGTTTTGTCGACGATTAGACGCCATCTCTACAAATTTGAAAATAATATTAGTTTTGTAACATACAAATTCTAAGTATGTATATAAGAAATAAGAAAATCTTATACTAAATCTAACTCTTTACTTTCTGTATTATTAAGAATAAATCATTTTAACTCATAATAATTACAAGTAAATATAAATTACAACATAACATGTATAAAATTGTTATCCTACTTAAACATGCATATTATAAAAAACATATTATTTTATAAATTATA